ATCTAGAAAGACAGGCTTAGAGGTAGCACAGAGTAGCGAACTAAGGACCTAAATATATATATTCACTTCGGTTTTTGCCATCTTATCAACACATCTTATCAACAGTGTCAAAGTCAAAGCCTCTCATATGACTTAACAAGTTAACGATTGTGTGTGCGGTAAGCTTTTGTAGTTTTGACGCTACAATCTTGATGGAAAATACTCACCACATGGTTTTGGATGGCGCTCAAGAAGCCATAAACAGTCACACAGAAGCAAAAAAATGATTATCAAATAAAGTAAAAAAAACAGTACTGATGCAGAGTAATCCATAGGTAGTATGTAAAAAAAGATGAGTAGCAAGCAAAACATCAACGTCTGTGGCAAAGCAGCTTATACAGCTTTTGTGTTGCTGCATTTACAAGTGCTACCCATCAATTTCTAAGTTATTTTGGCCATCGTCGTCTGATGCGACTCGCCTGCGCTTTTTAAGGCGAGATATTGTGGTGTCGTACCGCCAGAATATCCAGGTTTGCTCGTGTTCTATTTTGTGCAAAAACGGTACATTATATGCGGCAGTAAGAACTACTTGATCTCTTGATGGTCAATCTAACAACATTTCTTTCTATCGTTGTCGTTCTACCACAACTTCTAATGAAGTCTGATTAAAGCAATTAGTTCAACGTCGTACAACAATATCTACGATAGAATAAACAACTTTTATTTGAATATTCCAGTTTAATTGCTCATAAATTTCTTGTTCTCAGCAAATCCCTACCAAGAGGAGATGAGATGTAAGGCAATATTCTTGCAATCTCTTCATCATCGGTGTGTCCAATCTTTTAGGGACTGAACATTTACCAGAGATGTAATTGAAAATATCAATCGTCTCTTCGTTAAGAATATCCTCATACTGCTGCAATTGGTCGCTTGAAAGTTGCATGACATTCTCACTAGCCCAGCGGCCCAATAGTAGATCCACTTCAAGCCATCCACGTTGTTTACTACGATAAATGATACGCTTACGATTAGCTTCGTCCATATCCACGTGATGATCGCCCTGACTAGTCGGCGGGAAATCGCCTTTGGCTGCAATGTGATCGGCACGGATGGCAACGCGGTTAAATAGCTAGATTCAATTAGAACGGCTGCATTGGTGGCAATTGCTGCTTTATTATATCTCGATGATGGCATTCTCATGTCCAGATTCACGGCACTAGCGTTACTTAAAGAGCGACATTCGTTGTAGTTAATTTTTTTCCCGCGCTTCTGCTGCTGTGGCAAGTTGCGCCACGTTTGTGGACGTGAATAATCGAGTGTTTCTTGTGAAGGCGCAGTAGACATTAAAGCCGCGTCTATCAAGACAGTGAACGAACTTTCTTGAGACGGACTATTCAAGTTAGGGCTTAGTTACGTTAAGTATGAAGACAGCGAATTTCTTACTTGCTTCTTCTTGCTAGACACTCAACCCAAATGAAAAAGTTCATGACAGACGTTTCGACATTGTCATGTTTAGTAATGCTGTTTATGATGATAGAAGCTATTGCATACATGAGTATTGTCAAACCATTGACACTAGAGTCCGAGCAAAATAGTAGAAATGCTACACGTTTAGAAGATTCCGAGTATTGGACTGCAGACCAGCCATACAAGTACCAACCAAAGTGGACACGTCTTCCAAGTGGAAAAGTCATCGTCACGAAAGACTCGAATGCAAGCATGTTAACGAAATATCGTAGCACAGTTGAAACGAAACCGCCGTGGATTTCGAATTGGGTG